ATGGCACCTTAAATGACATCTTCCTGGTCCCCCTTAGTGCAGTGGTTCCCAATCTTTTTTGAGTTATGATCCCCTTTCATAATAGCCAAAAGTAGCCTGTGACCCCCTTCCATTTTTGCATAAAAGGCATTTTTAATGAGATAAAGTGGTGGCGCTGTGGGCTAAACCGCAGAAGCCTGTGCTGCAGGGTCAGAAGACCAAGCAGTCGTCAGATCGAATCCACGTGACAGAGTGAGCGCCCGTCGCTTGTCCCTGCTCCCGCCAACCTAGCGGTTCGAAAGCATGCAAATGCGAGTAGATAAATAGGGACCACTTCGGTGGGAAGGTAAACAGCGTTCTGTGTCTAAATCACACTGGCCATGTGACCACGGAAAGATCGTCTTCGGACAAACGCTGGCTCTATGGCTTGAAGAGCGGGATGAGCGCCGCCCCCTAGAGTCGGACATGACTGGACAAAAATTGTCAAGGGGAACCTTTTTTCTCAGAAAAATAGAGGTTTCTTCCCCTCCCCCCAGGACCTGTTTCTTACACATATAAACTAACTTTAATATCCTGTTGTGAAAAGTCAAGGAAGAAATTATTTAACAAGGGCTACAACACATGTAAGATGACCCACAACCTCTCAGCAAACATCTGGTTGGGACACACTGCCTTAGAGAGTGGGGGTTACTTCTCAGTCACACTTTCCCCACCCAGTTCTACAATTACATAGACTTGGGTTTGTGCTGTCATTGGATGTGATGGTCTGTGATGGGTCCAAGCAACATATTTCAACAAAGGCACTAATTTTCTCAAGGAATGCCAACAAATCACAGAAAAAAGTGGTGTTGTTTTTGACACTGCCAAAGCCGCACACAAAAAATTAATAGTTTTAGTGGATCCCTAATCTACTTCTCTATACTGTAATTGCGAAGAACTTGAATTCTCCTTTCCTTTCCAAGGCAAGTGGGGAGAAGTGACTTGCCTGTTTAGGAATGTCAACCACAGTCTCTTAAGAGTTTCCTCAACTCAAGGAACACTGCAATGTCAAGAGACTGTCTCCTACCTCCCTGACTGAGGAAGACGGATCTATTGTTGCTAGCTTTTATTACTTGAGCATTTTCCTAGCTTGGTGCCTTCCCTGTTTTTTGTTTTTTTTTTGTCTTCAAACGGGCTAATTGACTTGCCAAGCCTTCAGATAAAAAAAAAAAATTAGTCAATGTGCATGGCTTGTCAAAAGCTTTTGTTTAGGGATGAGTTGCTAGAGAGAAATTAAGCAACTCTCTCTGGCAGACGATAGAATAGGCAGGCTGAGATGTCTGGCACAGAAGTTATTAAACAAAATCCACAGTCTCCTTTCTCACTTCCACTGCCTATGGCTTGCTTACATGCCAGCCTTTGAAAACCCAGTGCAGAAGAATAGATTCAATTGTTAGCTGCTCCAGAAAAAAAATATGAATACACTCTGACAGAGAGGAAGCTGCCACAATGAGAGGAAGAAAAGGGAGAGGTTTATAATTTTATTTAAAATAAACTTTTAATGCATTACACAGGCACAATTATTGCTCATTCTTTCAGCCATAAGCAACAACACAAGTCACTGTAACACTCTGTGTGTGTGTGTGTGTGTGTGTATGTATAGAGAGGAAAACTTTGAAAATGGGGAAAGTGATAATCACACAACCACTTAAATAAAAAAAGGAAAACTTTGAAAAGGGGAAAATGATAATCACACAACCACTTAAATAAAAAAAGATACATCACAGTGCAAAAGAACAGGCAAGTTTGACTTATGATGTGGTTGTTCTTCAAACCTGACATAAATAAAACCCAACACCTAAAACCCATTGGTTTACCTTTTTTAGGATGAGCATAAACACTCCCACTCAACCTACCTTGGTTTATACATATTAAAAGATATACTCCTTTACTTTGGAGAAGGCCAACCCATGCTAAAGTCAATGGGAACTCTTATTAAGTCCCTTACATAAAAAGCTGTAGCTTGGGATGATGGGAATTGTTGGCTAACAAACCTGGAGGGTGCTGAGTTATGGAAGACTGTGTCACAGCATATGATGTATATGTGTGTGTGTGTGTGTGTGCAGTATAAGCCATGGTGTACTAAGAAGGTGTTCTTTTCATTGACATCCTCTGAACTTTAGTTGCAACAAGACAGGCTTACAGGTGTGACTAACTTATTGGAAACTACAGAGAATGGATCTGAAAGAGAAACCAGATCTCTGAGTAGAATAGCCCCATGTTCACAGCTAGGGTTAGGAGTGCGCAGCTGGGGCAGAGGTACAATAAGCCGAACGTATCAACATTCGGGTCCTAAGATCCTTGGTAGGAAAGAACAGTAGCAAAAACTGAGATGGTGGTTTTCCGTCATCAATGAGGAAATGATTTTGTGTGAACCTGATGGCCTCATAGACCCCTTCCAACTTAACTTTTCTATGATTCTATGAACCTGAATTACAGAAGGCAGCAATATTTAGGCCCTTGCCTGGATCAGCCGGCTTCTGTTTTGAGAAACACAGTAGTGTACTGTTCTACCAAATGAACCAAGACTTAAAAGCATTGTCACCAATAAATGAAGTATCTAATTCTACATTGGGATTTCTTCACCCCCACTTCCAAATGCTCCCCCTGCAGTTTATATACACAGGCAATCCATACCTAACTTGTACCAAAACTGTTTGACTAGTGGCACCCCAGGAGCCGACCTCCCTTCATTTATACTGTAGAGAACCATAGCAGGAGTTTTGCTATGAATTCTGACCCTGCCCTGTTTTAGCAGATTCTGAAGGGACAGTGCAATGTGATCAGATGGAGCTGATCTGGAAGAATCCCAGGTACTGAAAAATGGCCTCCAGTTCTTGACTGCAAAACTTACTTATTTACTCATATACAAGGAGGAAAAAGCCCAACACAATATATCAAAGAATCCTTGGTAATGAGACATTTTGACATCGTTGCTCATAGGAATACTTGTGGAATATGATCTTTGTGAATTCTGAAAAGGTGTCCTTTGTGAATTTTGAGACGTGGAAACTCATCTGATTTGAGCATCTTGAAATTGATCATCTTGGAAAAAATGACTAGACATCAGTATGGGCTGACAAGTTTTGATGTGGGAGGTGATTCATACCAATTTAAAAGCTGAAGTGGGGATAATCCCATATAATTTCCCCAAGGCAGCTGCAGTTGAGTTTAGCTGGTTTTACTCTGACTTCAAAACGTAACTTCCAATGATCTCTTCTCTTGAAACAATGCTGATGGCATATCTGAGGAACCACAAAAATGTACTGAGGTCTTTCGTTAATGATAAGTGGAATAGTGATTGTGTCAATTCATTTTTTAACAAGTAATTACAGATATTGGTATATACTGTAAATACCTTTTTTAAAAAAAACTACTCTCATTAGTTCTGTCCAAAAAAAGAAGGTGGCACTCCAGCAGACAACTGGAATGATCAGCAGTGTGGATATTGTCAGGGTTCTGAGGAATCATTTTTTTTAACAGTCCTAGCATTGCTTTTCTTGGATCTTCTTAAATGGAAGTTCATTATTACTGTGAAGTGACAGTGACTCGTAGCAGCTGTTCTGCGGCAAGTCTTCCTGCAAAGCTATAAATTTAAGGGCAAAACTACATAATTAAGAAACAAGAATGGTGTGATAGTAGTCCAGGAAATAGTTCTGAGAAACTGTACTAATGAAGAGTTTAAGCGGAGGGATTATAGTTGCAAAACCCTCTTTTAACCTAAAGTTTTCTTGCATTTAGACAACTACCAGATCACAGAAGTCACAGCCTGATGCCAAAAGCATTACCAAATCATAATAGAGGCACCTGAGTAAGTGCAGGTCTTTCCTTAAACTCTGAACTCATAATGTCCACAAATATCTACTACTGATTGTCCAGTTCTGCCTAAAAATGACCTTCACCACATGCCTACTATTAGTGGCCGTGTGGCAAGATTTCCTACCTAAATATTTTCTGAGGTTCAGCAAAAGGAAGTATTTTCATATGGATTGCTGTAACAAAGGAGGATGAGATGCACTCCCTAAAAACAACAGTGGCACACAGGAAAGATTTGCACCAAATGACTTATAGTCAACACAAAATAAAAATAAAAGAGCAAATTTAAAAAGGCAACACCATGATGGCACCTTAAAGACTAACTGATATTTTAATGCGAGCTTTCATGAACAAGTCCACTTCCTCAGACATAAGAGAGATAACTTGTTGGCTATGTAAACACTTGGTTTTCAGATGAAGTTTTGAAGAGCAGCAAGCATTAGTAGCAACAAACTTCTTCCATATCTGTGGTGCTGAATAGTAATTGTTTCGCTCTAGCCAGGGGTTGTAAGCAATTTAGATTATGAAAATGCTCCTGCATGGCCCCCAGGAGAAACTTCCATTGTTGATGTCTGGTTATGTACATTTTTGCTAAATACAAAGTAACTAAACATAGTGCAATTCTCAAAATGTTTTGGTGCATGAAGTCAGTTTGGGAATGTATATTTGTTAAGTGGTGGTCACTATGGTACATATTGATACTATGCTTGGGCAGTGGTTGTGGGAAGGATCACCTCCTGTTTACGAGGCCAGAGAACAGATGGCAGGTGCAATATTAGGCTGGGCAGACATAAGAACCAGCTCATACCATAGGCAGGTTATCCTGCACCTGGCAAGGTGAGCCATAACCTCCTGTTGTCCATACCACTTGTTGTGAAAGGGCAAGAAGTCTACAACCCATGGTTGAAGTGTGGGTCACAGGAGATCCTGGAGTCACCTGTGGAAGAAGCAATGATACATTCTATGGCAGAAAATGGCAAAAAAAAATTAAAGAAGGAACTCAACTGTTTACTTTTGCTTTTGTTTTTTAAAAAATGATTGTTCTTTTACTTCATTTAGGGAGAAACCCCTACATATTTGTTAAAAACCCAAACAACAACAGAGAAACACTTGGCATGCAGAATTAGTTTGACCATTCCATGTAATTAGCAGCAGGAGATTCAACATTCGTTTTTACAGATTTATTTATTTTTTGTCCTCAAACAGGTAAATCACAATGCTGGAATTAGTACCAGATTAAATACTGGTCTGCATGAGGCTAAAATGAATCAGGCAACAAAGATACTATTTATAAGTCCAGATCATCTGAGGACTTCTTTTCACATTGTACAGTACAACGAAGCAGTTATTTTACATAGGCATTGGAGTAATGATTATTCCATTACACTTTTTAAACCAGCACATAAATGAAGTTGTATGTTTGAAAAACAGCCCAGCAAAAAACAGTGGGTTAATTTCACAGCCTTATTGCAAATGTAGAACCAAACCAAGAGTGAAAGATTCATAGTCTGAATCTTGACACAGATCTCTAACAGAGAAATGCACACACAGTGTTGCGGAGAGAGTAAAGTTGGGACACAGGGTCAGGCTTCATTGGGATCCCCTTGTCACAGTAGGCCATTGAGCAGAAGTAAAATTGTGTCCACCATTGAAAACAACAGCCCAGTGCTGAGGTTGAGTACAACTAACTGCCCTCTCACAATGTTATGGTGCACATTTTCCTCATGATGATCTACGTCACTGGATGCTGCTGATAGGAAAACACCATAATCATGTCAGGTCACGGGAATAGTTATTTTGGAGGCTAGTAAAAGGGAGAAAGGAACCTGATGGTGGGCACTGGTTTCAGCTGCCCTTCCTTTAGATTTGGCCAAGTTTTTGGCCCAGGAGGCACAAAATCCTCACACACCCAAGAGCTAGCCAAAGAGGAAGCAGGGACCTACACTTCACCGGTGAGGTAGAAGCCCAACTGCAGTTATGTGGTCAAGGGCAAGAGAGCCTTTGATTGCAGTTATTCCAGCTTGTTAGGAAGGCAGGAGCAGAACAATTGCTAACCATACCTTTGTGCATGATAGGCTTTTCCCTCTTGCATGAGAGGGAAGCAAAAAGTAGCCCTGGCTTACATTTTCCTGCATGACCTATTTGTTCACCTCTGCTGGAGAAGCAGAAGACAGCTGTTCTTTCTGTGCTTGCCTCACGTCCCTGAGGTAAAACACTCTAGCCCACTGGATATCTATCTACGCAGGGAGAACTATCTGCACAGGTGCTGTCTTCAGCTTGAGGAAGCCTGCCCTGAAGAAGCCTTGTTAGGTCTGAAATCTGGTCATGTAAACATCAACCCTCACCACACGGATCCCACACCCTCCCCACAAATCACTGAACCAACTTCACTGACACTGTACACACACAACAGAAAACGGAACTGGCTTGCTGCCTTTTAAATCTAGGAATCAGCACAGAAAACCCTTTGAGCTTTACTATTGTACCAAAAAAAGGAGAGAAGGGGATAAAAATATATATATATATTAAACCACTATTTAATCACATACCCTATTCATAAATAATTGAATACTTTTTGACATTGCGAAATGAAATTCAAATTACATCATCATTGTGACCAAAAAGGAAGGGCGGGATCCTCAGGTTGAATTAAAATGTGCATGAAAAAGTCAATATAAATTTTGGAACGGGCGCATAACACAAAGTTCCCAGGTCTTCTGTGCTGAGCAAGGGCAATGGGCCAGGTGCCTTTTAGCCTCACATGACAGAGTTTGTTGGCCATTTGCAGACTCTATTTGGGCACATGGAAGATTATCCTGACCCCTGATCCTCCACAGGTAAGAGGAGGACAGGCTCTTGGTCAGAGGCAGAGACGTTGGAAGGCCATTCTTTGGATTTGGCAGATTTTTCCATTCGCAGGGTGCGTGTGTGCGTAGGTGGTGGGAGAGTCCGAGAAGATGCAGCATTTCTTCCATTTCTGAATGCCATCTCCTTTCATATAAATAACCAACATTTTCACACAGGGACATGCAAAGTAGTGCAATGATTCTGTTCTTACTACTAAACCTCAGTCTGCATCTTCTGAAAGGCAGAACTGGGCATCTCTTCTGCTCCAATCAACTTGGCGGAAGAGACTGCCGATGCACTTTCTGCTGCCGCTTCACCCCTCACCTCCAATCCACAGGAAGGAGCATGGGTCAGAGCAATTATAAGGTCCGGACAGCCACAGGATAAAGGAGTGACAAATGTTCAGCTCCTTTTATTGGGAGTTTTTTTGCTGTGTAGTAGTGGATCACTTCTGGCACACTTTCAAAGGGAGGGCTATTCTGGCCCAAAATGTATTTCTCTTTGGTTTTCGTCAACTTCATGTGCATAAACCCTTGGTTGCTCCTGTGGAAAGAGAAAAGAAGCATGAAAACATGCCATGTAAAACAACTGTTGCAAAGTCAAAGCAAACGGAGTTGTTAAAGATGTCCTTTCAGGAACTTAGTGATGGTTGAAGGGAGACGGACGAGATACCTAATTTAAGTGCAGAAAAAGATGCAGACTTATAGAAAAAACAGTGGCTCTGTCCATTTGCCACTACTACCAAATTTACTTGAAAAAAAGAGAGAAAACAACTAATGAAAAGACAAGATGGATTTAATCATGAAGGCTGGCACACACCGGCTGTAGGTTGGTGATACAAGCAACCGCAGCAGAAAAGAGAGTAAGCATTATTCTACTATTGCTAAACTGTTAAACTTGTGTGTCTGTGTGTGCGTGTGTGTATCTGTATGCATGCACATAATATATGAATAAAAGTGGTGTTATAAATACACACACATATGGTACTCATTAACAAATATTTTAAAATTTTCACATATTCTTAGCCACAGTTAAATGACAGTGAACTAAATTAATCTACCATTTGTTTCAGATGTTACAAAGAAGCGCTACCAGCCATCCAGACAATGACGTCTGCATTTAGCTGGTGATGCTAATTTGTGAGGATGGAAGGAGATCCTGTACATTAAATTCTTAACCACAGTTAAAGGAAAATAAGCCATGGCTGAAGCCTTAGTCCACCCTTCCAAACAGAAAGGTGTTATCAAAATGCAACACATTCAATGAGACAATGGGTGTGTAATGCAGGGTGATCTCCCTGTTCTGTTGTGGGGGGGGGATGGGGGGATTGGGATACAGCAGGCAGAGATATTCCATTCTGCATTTCATAAGCACATGGAGAGACCACTTTAAGTCAAGAATAACTCTTTTATCCCCTCTGAAATTGCCTGAGAATTTTATTTTTTAAACTGAATGTTTCCCATGAAAAGGCTGAAGCAAATTTCAGGCTCACATTATTCAGATTTGTTGAGGCAATTTTGTGATGAAATGACCCTTCTCTGTAGAGTAGAAATCACTGCAGGCACTGTAATTACAGCTCTGGCAAGCTTAAAAAATCTTGATTTAAATTTCAATTCTTTACAAGAATAATTCTCTTTTGAAACATAATTGCTCTCTAAACGATTTCCTTTAAGCCAAGGGTGACATCTCTAAATACTTTATTATGAGCAGATACATTGTTCTGTTCTTTCAGTTCATTATGTTTTTTCCATACTAGTAAATGGTTTAAGGATCTGCCACTAAATTATTAGGATTGAAAAATAGGTGCATATTAATTCAAGACTAGAGCAGAGGGCAGTCCTGCTAGGATTTCACCATGACAGATATGTCAGAGAGTGGCTGTCAAAGACACACTGCAAACTGCTGGGGAAAGAATAAATACTTCAGAGTCAGTAACTTTGGTGGATTATTGGCAATGCTACTTCCAGATTGAACTAAAGAACAATCTGGGCATTAGCCCCTATAAAACAGGGTTAATGTTCAAGAGCTGGATGGAACGCTAGCAGAGACATCGAAATGGCTAGTGACAAAAAAACAAAAAAAGGCATTGGAAAAGTTCTTGTAAAGTTTGTAAAGACAGAGGAAGGATACCAAAGCTCTGAAGAGGCAGTAAGTTCCATGTGCATTGCAAACAGCAAGGTTTTAAAGGCCAGATCTGCATGTTGGGGAAGACATTGGACTGCCACAGAAAATAATACTGCTGATTCAATGTCTTCCTCACCTCCCAGAAACATGTGTTCTCACTCAATGCATGCTATGACATCAGACCACGGGGTGCAACTAGATGTTAAGATGAATTCAGAGCTTGGCACAGGGAGACCGTACAGTATTTCAGTGCCAGTCCCATATTTGCTGTAACACCTAGCCTTGCTTTTAGGGATCCTTATCAAATACAGTGATGCATGGAACTAGCGGACTCATCAAGACCTCCTTGCAGGGCCTCGGATTCCATTTTCATTCATACATGGAGAATGGGTGAAAAACTATTTCCCCTTCATCTCAACACCCCTGTGTTTTCTTACTAGCGGCTTTCAGATAAATGAATGGAATTCTGACCAGGATCTTCTCTGGCAAGCAGGAATCTGTGTTGCAACAATCTTCACCCAGCACTCAACCTAAGAAATAAAACCTGGTGGGTTTTTTGTTCTGTTTTGTTTTTCGTACTCCTTTGTTATGCTTGCTCATCTTCAACAATACTCAACTCCAGTATTTGTTCGTGGCAAATTACTACAGGCTGTTGAGGCATGCTGTAGAAGCTATCAGTGCCTCGAGGCTGCAAGCCAGCAATTCCAATTGCTAGCCTTCTCTGCTTTGCCATATGCACCTGTCGCCTGTGATGCTCATGCCGAAGACGAGAAAGGCACCTCAAACAGCACAGCTTCTATCACAAGAGATCTCCTGTCACTCTGTCTAGTTTCCCTTCATGACGCCAAGCCCAGGGCCCAACTCATTTGCCTTCTACAGCCAGCCATGGAAAAACTACACACGATGGAGCTGAAAAAGGAAGATTTTGGCCCCCCCCCAATACTTTCTGCTTTTAAAAGCTAATTGTTCAGCCTACATCATATGTTGAACCACCTGAACTTTATTGCAGCTGGATATTTTTACAGAAGCAGTAGGTGTGCACAGCTGTGAGTCAACATTTGCTTTAAAGAGATATGCTGAAAGACGAGTAGTCAAATGAATGACCTGGTAACTTTTAACGGGAAACTGCTAATTAAAACTGGCTTGTAAAACAGTCACTTGGATTACATCCAAACACTCCTGGGCTACCAGGAAAAGACATTTTGGAAAAGTGGAAGAGATCTAGTTTCCCCACTGGACCACCAATGCTTCACCAAAGGCTAACACAGGTGGGCTTGGTCTGGAAGCCTGCAGAAAGCATTTTAAGGCTTTTTCTGGATATTCAAAATTCAATTAAAGCAAAACATTCTCCATTAAAACTGGGCCTAGAGGATTAAAAGAAATCATAAAGCCTGTTGTGTTTCCCAGGCAAAACCTAGCAGCAGCTTAATGATAACCTGGAGCAGAGTACCTATTTGACGCAAGAGATTAAACAGAGATGTCCGTGGGAGAACGGGACAGAAAAGGAGTCAAGGCAAGCATCCCTGGCAGAGAGGAAGCAGCCCACATGATGAGATAAGAGCAAAGCTGCAACAAGTCTTAGTGGTTCAGAAAGAATGACTAAAGAAAATGATGAAATCTCCTCTTGTTTTGGCAGTTAGAGACTGATGAATAACTGGAAAAGAGTCATGACAACATATACATCCTATTACCATACACTTGCCTCTGGAGATCAGTTCAGAAGTAAAATAGGTTGGAAATCTGTGGGCTTCTCAAGTGATCCTTGCCCACTCAAAGGCTCTTGGATAGTTCACCATACAAGCAGGAGAATTATGTGCTTGAATGATACCTATAAAAAAATTCCCTAACCATGCAAAGCCAGCATGTCAGAAGAGTCACCCCTCATCTTCTACTCAACATGCAAGTTTTCAGTGTACAGGAACTGTGTGTATGTGTACAGACAAACTCAAGCATATAATCCCTTGGATATACTTTAAAATAATACAGTCCTGGAAGAGTTTTGCTGAAACAGTCAGAAAATAACTGGAAACAAGAGTTTTCAAGCTTGTCAACTCATCAAGCCTGATAAGATCTGCTGTCTTGACAAATGTACTTTCACATGATACGAAGTCTCTGTTCTCTTCAGGTTAGATCCAGAAGTATTTGGCTCGGCCAAGCAATCATGTGAGGAGAATGACTTGGGCCTACAGATATCTGTATCAGAACAAAAGAGCCAGAAAAAAAGACATCGGGAACTGTACTGGAAATGTACAGGAGGAGGAAAGGAGTGGGGGAAAGCTAGAGGAGGCATTAATATCCAATGTAAAATGCACAAAAAATGAGGGAGGATTTTAGTTCAGTCTGGCTTACTCAATCCAGAAGGCCAGGCAATAATATTTTCCAGATAAATAATGTTGATTTCTCAGTCCCAGATATTCCTACAAGGGTCACTGAGTTCCTTGGAAATGTTCAGCTGCCAATAAGACCAACAAGCAGAAGAAATAATTCTCAGTCTGCCATTATGTCTGCTTTTAACTGTCCATTAAAATGGCAGCCTATATGTTTTTCCAGAACATGGCCAGGACATGTATTTTTGTGATAATAGTACAATCAACTGGAACTTCAATGTGTGTCTTGTAAAACTTCTGTCCACCTGCCCAGATAGTTCCTGACTGTTCCACCCCGAGGCTAACACATATCTTCCACCATTTCCTGGCATGTGCAAGTGTACACAAAATGAAACATTATGCTTTAGCACCCAATCTATAATGTCAAGTAGAATGAAGTGGTAGAATTTTTTTAAAAAAAACTTTTATTACTTCAGTCTTTATGTGGTATCAATCAAAAAGCAACTCTCTCTATTTGATGTACTAATTTATATGTGCAAGAAGGTGGAGGTGCTGTTTTTTTTACATGCAAAGCAGATTCAACACTATAATGCTGCAACTAAAGCATGAAGTTCGAATTACCTCTCCTTTCATTGCACAGTTTAAGCCTTAGACTTTTAAAACATATACCTATAAATGTTATGTGCGAAAAACACAAAACAGTGAAGTGTGTTCAAGAGGCTGCTGTGAGCGACCATAGCTCATTCTTCAATGTGCACAATGCGCTAGACACCAGTGGATATGAAATGGCCCAGAAACATTTGTATCTGGATGTGAGTCCCCATGATTGGTGGCATTAATATAGTAAATGCTCTCACTCAGAAACTGGCTGAATGACGCTGAACATATGTCATAAGGCAACCCATAACTGCTGATCTCCAATAGTTATTTCACCCAACCACACTATGGCACACTAGTCGGAGCAGTGAGTCAAGGCATCGACAATGAAGTGTACCTAGAAGTTGCTACCATTGGAAAATGATACAGAGAACGGCACAATGTGGGGTTTTCTCATGTAACATTGTATAATCCAAAAGCCCGGAGAGCTTGACT